AGCAGGAATCCAGTAATCCCCCTTTGCCTTCCCTTCCCCCATCGTTTTCTCCTTCAGGGCAGGTAAAGGCATATCCTGGAGCTGCAAATGCCATTAGTTCCACAAGTCAATATTTGCTTTGCATGTATACAGTCAGAAGAAAACTCTGGTTTCACAAATAAGTATGCAGCTGAACAAAGCACAGCCACACATGTGACCAAGGAGTAGACAAGATACAGATAATTTCTGTCTCTCGCAACCTGGCATCCTGGGCTTTTTAATAACTGATGGAGAATCCCATACAGACACCGACTCATACCAACCCCAGGTTAAACAGTCAACATGATATTAGTAAACTGAAATCATTCCAGGAATGAATCTGCTTAAGGTTTACAAAGTACCAGCCTCACACTGCTCTGGCTGTTGCTCCATATATTACAAAGGGAGGATGAAGGTGCTGAGGTAGCACTAATGCCTGCTTTCCGTCAGGCATGTGGCTACATGACTTGGGACAAAAAGTTGAGGGTTTTTAAATGTCCTCAGCCCAATTTCTCAAATGAATTGGATCAGACATCAGAAAGAATAAAAGTTTATGGTAGGCCTAGAAAAGGGGAATATAAGACCTGGAAAGCAGCAAAGGTTACAGCTGTGACACCCTTGCAGAGCCAGGTGGGCATGCAAGCTCAGGACAGCAAGCTGCTGACAGCGTTACTGACTGTAATGTTACTGACTGTAGAGAAAGTCGCTCAGGACTCCAGTGCTGCCCAGCCGCCAGCTGTGATGACATATTGACTGCGGGAAGGAAGGAGTGTGACGGGGCAGACATGCCTCCTCCCACCTGCACCAGGGCTGTATTGCTAGCAGAGTGATGTGAAACAGACAACAAAAAGTAAACTGGAACTCCACGTGTCCTATCATAACACATCTTGTGGACTCCTGGCCACACTGGAAATGTAATTATGGGCAGAAATGTAACTAAAAGGTATTTCCATGCAACAGATCTGCTCCCCGTACTGATCACTATCCAGCAATAATGCTGGATCGCTATCCAGCTGTAATGAGAGGGAGAGCCGACAGGAACAGAAAGCGCTGAACTCATTTCCAGCTTACGGAAAAGGGATAGAACAAGTAATTTCCAATGGCAAAGTGACATTTGCCTTTCGCTTCGTTTTAAAAATAAGGACTTGAAAAAGCAGTACCCCACTTCTTAGTGCTTATGTATTAGGCAGAGAGAACCCAGCTTGACTTCCCGATCATGGTTCAACATGTCACACTCGGCTCTAAAAAACCCCTCTGCAACACCTACTTATGCAGAATACAGACTTCCTACAGAATCATAAATTCAGAAACCCACAATACCAAGACATTTTTTTCCTCAGAAGAGAACTGCCTTTTACTCCTGCATTTGGCTCCAAAGCAGATAGCTGACCCTTTATGCAGGACAAAGTTTGAAAAGACTTTAGGGTCTGCCTGAAGAACTTATTTCTAAATCTGGAGATAGCAGAGGCTTCCCCCACGTGTTTCAGAAAAGTAAAACTTCTTAGTTAGGGTTCTGCTGATTCTCTGAGATGCTAATGCAAGCTGCCATACTTTTGACTCTGGAAAGCAGATGGTGTCTATCCCCACACAACACACAACTAGTTCCTGCTAAGCTGAACTGCACTGCTGTGGAGAAGAACCTCTTGCTTGCCAAGACTCGTGCGATCAGAGGAGGAGATGCTTCCCCTTTCCTGGTGTTTCCATTATTTTGGTAGTGAGAGGACCTGTGATAGGAATAGTGAGTTCTTCCCCCCATCTCACACAGGAGGGTTAAAATAGACCAAGCACAGAAACAATAGTTTAAAAAAAAAAAAAAATTCAACTCTGCATTGGGTGGGGATGGAAAAAAGGCCAGGATACAAACTAGCAAGGTATCTGCTCTCCTCTCCCTCACAGCACAGCAAAATTCCCCTCACTTGAAATACAGAGAGGAAAACCCAGGTGTGTTCCTAAACGCAGGTCTACAATTGCCCATGTCTTCAAGGTCTAGAGTAAAGGCTGTAAAGGTGATCTCGCATTAAACACACCTACACAAATATAATCCAAAGGCGCCTGATTAGCATCTAAAGGGTCCCCAAACATCTCTTCTGTTAGATCCAATTTCTATGTCATAAAAGGACACTTTCAGCCAATAAAATCATAGATATAGGACCTAAACACTTATGCAGAACTCTATAGAAACTCATTTTCCCAAAAAACTTCCTAGAAGTGGTTTTCACTGTCTGGTCCGTGAACACCTGTGAGTCTGCAAACTACTTCTAAGATGTCTGTGGAAGGTAGTGGGCTTTTAGCAGCTGTCAGTTACATTTGCTATACAGAAGCCTGCATCTCTAACAGGAATATCTTCTTTCAGGGTTCCACAAATCAAAGGAGGATTGAAAACTATTACTGACAGTTAGAGAGAGGTATTATTACATATTTCATAATAATACAGTTGTATTCTAAGAAGCGGCAAGTGGTGTCACCAGAGAATCTTTTCATCACATCCAGAGCGAACTCTCCAAGTAGCCCCAAGGAAAAGTGTGAATCTCAAGCTGGTCTCATCCTACTGTTACCAGTGATAAAAGATCAACAGCCTGAGGAGTGCCTCTTCCTTAATATGGCCTCTGGTGGGTTAGCAGAGCTTTAGCTGATGGGGTTTGTCATTCCCTTGGTGATGCACAAAACAGGCTAGATTCAGGTCACTCTCCCGTAGCTCTGTTATTCATGCATGACTAATACGAATAAACGACAATGCCAGATTCACCTAGCAGGACTCTTAAGTATATCTCGCTTCATTTGGCTCAAGAAAATGGCTTTTTAAGGGAGGTATATCCCATGGCACTCGAGATCTGTCTCCTTCAGGGCTCTGCCTTTCCAGAACTCAACTTTCTGAAGAGGCTAACCACACCCAAAGCATCCTTTCAAGACTGTTTGCAAAGCTCCTTTCTAACACATGTCACGTTAGACTACTCAGATCTAGTTCCTGCAGAAACTTATATGCACAGGTAACTCTGAGATCATGCTTGAGAGAAAAGCAAAATATATAACGACCACTAACGTTTGTAACAAAACAAAATTAAAAAAACCCAAAACAACAACAAAAAAGCACTTTTCTGCAGATCAGAAGAATTCCTCTTCCCCACAACAACAAGGCTGGTTAGTTATGGTCGTTTTCTCTCATCTCTGAATCATCAGATACTACCCAGCCAAGAAATACTGCACTGACTGGTCAGTGACAACACTTCTCGGGGTCACTGCTCACAGTGCCAATACCATATCTTCTGTTCTTCTATCTCATAGAAGAAGCGTATTTTCACTTCCCTTAAGTTTTTTTTTTTTTAAAGCTAGAAACAGCCTGATTGCTCTGTTTCCAACATCACTTGTTGCACTTGTGTTTAGAAAAAGCTAAAACTTTCTCAAAGACAAAACAACTGTGGCAGGACAAAACCATCCTCCTCCCTATTTGGGGTCAACAGTAGTACAGCTGACAAGTGAGACAAAGAACTAATATTTTTCCCCAATGTTCCAGATACCTACTCCCTATAAGCTACGTGGGTCTAAAGTTCTGGCTGCTCTAACGAAAGGTGGCACAGAAAGGAGTTCAAACAACAAGAAATCCTCGAAAAGCGAGAAACAAATCTGAAATGCCAACACCTCTCCATCTCTCGGGAGACATTTGGGACAAAGAACTCGCTACACGCAATGAAACTATTTGTTTTCCTTCCCTTATTTGACAGTTGCCAGTTCTACTTGCTTCCAGGCAGGGTACAAAACCTCTACACCCTAGCAAGTTGAGCAGGATTAGGATCACCAGTGATGTAGCTAGAAGAGCTGTAGGACCACACGCATCAAAATATTTGGTGCCATACCTTTGCCGCTGAAGAGAAGGCTGCAATGCTCTTTAGGATTTTAAGTTTTCTTTTCTTCCCATGTTTTAGTGAGAAGTCTCAGACTAGCAGCCAGGAGGACAAACACTGTCCCAGTCACTTCCAAAACAATTACAACCTCAACTGCAACATCACTTGAGGGCCAGACTCCCTGATTTCTTTTTTTACAACAGCCCAAAAAATACCGAACGTGGGAAGCAGTTTTGCAATACACAAACCATTTCACTAAGAACTTGACCAATACTAGCAGCTCATTTCACATAGACCGCTTAGCTAACAGTGTCTGCTATTACCAAGCCACCTCAGATAAGAGGCACTGATTTAAAAAACTAAATATTTTGATTACTGTCTATCTTCAAGATCACACTGTCCTTTAGAACGCTGCTATTTGCAAAAGACACTATCTT